AGCCAAATGCAAAGACACTCCATCTGGCAGCTGCTTGGCTATCTGTGTATTTTGTATGACCTCTCCAGCTGCAGATAGGGAGTGTGGACAAGATCATGAACTGGAAACAGTAGAGAGCCAGAGGAAAGGAGCTCATTTGCATGATCAGTCCTGTGCCCCAGCTGTGTGTGCTCACTCTCTTTTCCTTTCTCCTTCTAGTATGGAAAGGGTTTCTTCCCTCCTTGTTTTTTCTGTAGGTTGATCTTTTCCCCTTTGAGTCCTAAAGTAGTGGGAGGGAAATCACAGCCTTATGCAGTTTGTATGGCTTGGAGAGGAGTGGTGCTTCCAGTTGGATGAGATCCTAGAGTTCAAACTGTCTGTTTTGCTAAAAATATCGAAGAGAGGGCATTGGAACAGGAATTTAACCCCCTCAGTGCCAGGCATTGGAAAGTGTCCACATTCCAGAGACAGAACAGAGAGCCTTACAGATGCTTAAAGTAACTGGTTCTAAAAGGGATTATACCATGACTTGGAATATATTTATCATCCTAGTAATGTCACAGCATGATAGTCACTCCATGAATTGTCTTGAAATCATATCCAAAGCAAAGCAGCATGAGTGACATATTTTAGCACATTTACGCCTCTTAAAAACAGCAGTGCTTTTTAAAAATTTTTGTTTTGTTTAATTTCAAAATTGGCTGCCAGCTTCAGGGTTTCTGGGTTTGGCTTTATTTTATGTTCTCAAGAGACACTCAAAACAGCATCCAGGCTTTAAAATTCACAAGGAAAAGATGCTGCTGAACATGCCCTGCAGTTCTGAAGCAGTTTTTTTTCCAATGATGGATCTGAACTTGCGATGGTTACAAAAGCTCACTGCTTCTACAGTATTTACAGCTGAGGGACAGGTCTTCCCTTGATCCAGGGGCTGAACATGCAACAAAAGTAATACTTAGCAAACCAAGGTTCAGCTCATAGTGTTCTCTATCAGGCCTGTGCAATAATTTTGTTTAAAACAGAATCTACCTAGCCTAAAGGTTGGAAAAAGTGGCCCAGTTCATTATTCTCTTCTGTACTGGAACATTCAATGTAGGGACCAGAAAACTACAGTAGTCTACCCCCACCTAGCATAAATAGTTATAGCTGCATCAACACTGGTGGAATGGCTTCAGGACTTTATGCCAGTTGAGGTTCTAACCCTGTGGGTTTTAACTCTTTGCAGTTCCTGGACCATTTCTAGGAAAGACAGGTAGACACTGATAACCTATGGAAAAGGCCAGAGGTTGTCTCCTTCTTAACCACTGAGACTTCCCTTTAGGCGATTGTCAAAATGAGTGTCTCTAGTTCTTCTGTCTGGGGATCCCTGGCTTATAGTAACACAGAGACCAATTTTCATCAGTGCTGAGCTCCCACCCTCTGAAAACAGGATCCCTTTCAGGTGTCTCGAGCTGGGAGCCAAAAAGCAGTAGCCATCTGAAAATCTGGACCTCTGTGCTTGTTGGCTTCAGGGGGTTCTCCTTTCAATAGCAGGGTAAATGTGAAGAAACCAGAGTACCCTGCCAGATCTTCTGTTTCCTTGAGACTGATGCCACAAAAGGCCTTTCACAATGTTACAGCTACCTTCTTTGTCCTTTGAGAAGAGGATAGTAAAGCTAGAGATATGGGTAATGTAAAGAGCTTTTATAAACATATGGAAGGAATATGGCAAAGAGTAAACACATCCTGGAAAGCTCAGTAGGACAAAGGAGAGTGAGATGAAGGATGGCTAAATACTGAAACCACTGGACTTGAGGATCACTCAGGACTTTAAACCTGAATGCAAAGAAGAAAGGCTGCCCAAATGAGAATTTAAGTCACAAAAGGGAGCTCCACAACATGTGCCTGACTCTTGCCAAGACTCCACTACTCTGTTACAGTTGGAAAAGACTCCTGTAGGCACTGAGGAAAAGCTGGTTGAATGGGACGGCTGAGGAACTGGTAGTCTCTGTGCCCTGCTGGAAGTTATAGGGGCCAAACACTAGATTGACAAAGGGAACTCAGGCTCATTTCTCCAGCGACTACCTCTTAGGTGTCCTTCTGCCCAGGTGGATCCACAGCCATGAGTTAAATACATCAGCTCCCTATCGAATGAGCCACCTCAGAATATGTTTAACAAAGTGGGCAGGGAACCACCTAAGCAGGAGAGGACAGAGCTTAAGCTTCATCCTGTCAGGAGGCTGGTTGCATGGCTCTGAGAAACCAGGAGACATCTCCCTTCACACAAGTTCACAGTCTTGGACCTTCTTGTGGTATCAGACTTCAAGTCAGGTCAGCCACTTCTTGTACAAGACAGCCAGGAGGAGGGCCCCCCATTCACATATTGAACAGCCCAGTGGTTAGACCCCTCATCTACAATGTAAGAGATTCTGCTCCAAATCCTTTTTCTGCCTGACTTGAACCCAGATCTCCTGCCTCCTAAGAGAAAGTGGGTTCCAGTTTATTGTGAGGTGCCTTTTTCCAATGGAAGCTGTTCCACATTTTTTAACACATATTCATTAGAGCCAACACTGGTACTCCACTGTGTCTGGTAAGTCCCTTGGCCACCTTGTTACAGAAGTCATTCTGAACTCTCTATGCTCCAATGAATATTTAAGAATTTCATAAATGGAACTACTTCATCAGAAAAGTCTGGGAGACACCCACCTTAGAATACCCTATAACCTGTTGTTTAAGGCTGTCTCATAAGACAAAGGAAATCTGGGTTCAAATCCCTGCTCTGCTATAGAGAAAGGAAGATCTCTTATATCTCCAATGAGCTTTCTAAGGACTTGCTGGCCAAATCCAGACATGCAGGGGCATATGGTTTGTGGCATTACAAACTGCACATGGAAAATGTTAAAACATGCCCCATGATGCAAGTTTGCAGTACAGCACCAACATTTGCTCTTGGAATTTCCTAATAGTAAAAAAATGCCCAAAACCCAGCACAAAAAGCAGCACAATGCACATGCAACAAGCATGCACCAGCATACATGGAGGCCGAGCCATACAGAACAATGTTCTGGCTGCTGGTCAGGCCTCCCTGCTGCCTGACCTGTGTCCCTGCTGCTCCAGGCCACCAGGTAAGCTGTTGGGGCCAGCACTGGTGCTGGCCCTAGTCTCCAGCTCTCCCTGGATGAAAAGCCAGAAGAAGCTGGGTAAGGACAGTTTGCCTGTTGCAGAACAATTTGTCCCACAATGGACCACATATGTCCAGTGGCAGAAATTCAGGTGCATACCAGATTTGACTGGTCAACACCTGGGTGCTAAAGGAATTTCAGGATCTCCCAGTTGAAGCAGAAGGAGAGGAAAGTTTTGAGAACCTAGATTTTGGATTTAGGCACCCAAGTCCACTGCAGATCCAGTCCCAAGTGTGTTGTTGAGCAGATATCAACATAGGTGGGAAACTTCCTGGGCATGGACGGAAAAAGCAAAGCAGGGAGTCAACTGCAGGAGGCAGAACTCCAGGAGGAAATTAATTTGGTGTACAAAGAGCCAGTCTATGGGTTGGGTTACTGAGTCCATTCAGGACCAATGGACCTGCAATAGTTTGTCTGCACTGCTTCAGTCAGAGTGAAATCTGAGCTTGGGCCAGTGGTGGCTACCAGAAGTATCTGTCCCAAGCCAACAGAAGGCTCCCTCATGGAGGCTGGCATTTAATTCATTATTTTTGTGCTCTGTAGTTTCTCCATACAGAACACTGCAATAACTTAGTCACTTGATATGAAAGAGGATTCAGGAGGGGAAAAAACAGCATGATGCTAGAGCTGTCAGACACCTGCTTATATGGACTTGATTCAGCACATACTGAATTTTGAAAGAGGAACCCATATCCTCTGTGTAATAATACTCTGAGCCAATGCACTCAGCATCTTTGCAACTATTCTGTCAATATCTTGCAAGTGTTCTTTTTTAAAATCAATCCGGTTTAAACATCTGAACTGAATATACATGGCAGACAGCATATACAAGATATGTAGATTGCAAGAAAAAAACATTCTAGTTTCTTTTGAAAATAAATCCAGTAAAACTATGGACACTAAAATAATGTTTTGAGTTACTTTGCCAGGAAGACTGAAAAAAATTGACAGGTGCTATTAAAATAAATTACACTACACTTTGATAGGTGTTCATTAAAAAGGGTATTTCATTCCCTCTTGGTAGTATCTGAACAAATGTCTGGTATTCCTATGTACTGATACTCAGCAAATTTAGTACCAGCTTTTTCCAAGCTCATTGTCCTTGTACCAAAAACTTCTATGTGGAGTTATCAAGGACCATAGGGCTGATTCAGGCAGGTTCTTAAGCATTCATCAAACCATGAGAAGTCAATTCAAGACATTAATGTCAATATGACTTTTTGTCTGCTTTAACTCATATGTATTCTGAATTTGGACTTGAGAATGTTCTTTTATGAAACAGTAGTTAGCTGCTGAATTTACTCGTATTTAACTTTTTATGGGACAAATTCTGACCACATGGACTGATATCTAGACCTTACTGATGTTTTGCCCCTGGGCCAGGATTTCACCCCTTTTACTGAGGTCACAGAGTTTGCCTGAGAAAAGATTATACGTGAAATCTGAGCACAGTCTGAGTAAGAACTTCAGGGTCTGGCCTTTTGTTCTGATGAGAACAACTCTATATAAAGGTGCTGAATGCCCCAATGCATCAAGAGGCCTTTTGTCCATACAAATCAATTCTCTCTATTGTTAAAGGAATGAGAAAACACTCTTGTGCAAATGAAGTCTTAGTAAGGAAAGAGGGTTTGTGTACAGGAAAATGGAAATCATTGCAAAGCAAATGGCATCTACAAGCAAAGCATGTTTAGTTGTGATTTCAGCAGATTCACACAGATATTTCAGCAAGCACATCCACATACTATACTAGATGACATGACAGCATTCGCTCACTTTCTGCCCTGTTCTGAATTGTGCCTATCAGCTGGCAACATAAAAATTACTGAAGTTGGAAAACTATAAGCACACAGCTGCTTCTCTTACCTTCCACTGAGAAGGAAACCAATAACAACGGCCAGAAGAATAACTCCCACTGTTACAGACACAGCAATTATAGGAATCTGGCTCTGATCGCTGGATGCAGCTACTGCTGAGAATGAGAAACAGAAAATGGAAATTAAAGTTAAAATCATAGTCAACACACACAGGAGTCTTTATTTCAAGGCTGCTACTGGCATTATGGCTTTTGCAATTTATTTTTTCATGGGTAGTTTTTTTTCCTCTTTTTTCCCCCTTCTCATTATCTCTTGTCCCCCAAAAAGAAACACACACACACACACACACACAAAACAAAAAGTTCCCATTTTGGAAACATATTTAACACCCTAACTGAAACAATCCAGAATTCAACCTTCTAAGCTGCAAGTTGAAATTTATTTTCCTGGGTATGCTGCATCAGAAATAACTCTAGTTAAAGATGGATACCATAACTATTAACATATCCTAAAAAGGGATGGACACCCAAGGAAATCCTCTTTGTTGAATTTTTGGTTTAAGACAAATCTTATGGAGTTAATTCCTGTTAACAGAAGATGAGAAATAACCAAGGTCTTGGAAATATCTGAAACTACCTGTGCTTTAGGAGCTTTCTGAGACTTATGTATTAATGTGTTGTGGTATCTATACGGTAAGGCCATATGGTGTCCTTTGGAACAAAGAAATGTGAAAGACTAATATTTTGGTTCGCTGAGACATATTATGAGAGAAGCAGAACTGCTTCCAGATTGTGCCCTTTTGAAAGTCCCTCTTGACAAACTGCTTGAGAGGAAGAACGGTTTTGTGATTAAAACAAAACTCTAAGACTCAGGAAACTTTGGTTCAGCTCCTGGTTCTGTCAGAGGAGTCCTATAAGAACATGACTAAACTACCTATTCTGTTGGTAGAAATGAGATGATAAACAGCACCTATTCTGTCTTTTCAGATTACAAGATGTTTGGGTCAGGGCCCCCTTCTCACTTAGCAGTTGCACTGCACCTTGTCCACTTGGTTTCTGAAAATACTACAGCATTTCTAGAATGATGGAGTAGAAGTACTCTGTAAAATTTGCATGGTGACACAGTTGGCAAATATTGCCTTAGCTTTCTCTTTACACCAAACACTGTATGGGACATGAATGAAAGTATGCCTGTGAGATGTGATGCAGGGGACATGGCAATGATGTGCGTGCACTTCAGTCAGAAAGAAGCTTATGTGATGGCCACCCTTTAGGCTGACATCCTGGACTGAGCCAGAATCCTTCAGAGCTAAATGTGCAAGCTTGAATTAAAACTCTGAAACAGCTGGAGATAACAACCCATCTCTCCCATGCAGAGGCACAGAAATACATCCATAGGAGACAATATGCTTTCACAGACTTTGTGATGAACAAGTGATCTTTAAATGTTTTCAATATCAGTGAAGTGTGATGTCCCCTGACATCAAATTGTGGAGGCCAGCAGCCCAATCACATCAGTTTGAATGAATTAGAATATGGTGGTCTCAGAGCCTGCAGCAGTCAGTACTGCATTATGCCTACTACAGAACTGAGGCTCATAACACACATGCCGCTAAAGCAGTGGCTCTCAACCTTCTTTGTACCAGGACCCATTTGTAAACATCCATGGCCAGTCCCGACCCAGTGCCCCTCACCCTGACCCACTGCCCCCCAGGCCCCAAGCTCCAGACCCTAGTGTGTGGGGTAGGGGGTAGATGTGTGGGGCACAGGCAGTATGTGTGGGGCATGGGGGGACCTCAAGCAGCCCCCTGCAGCCTGGAACTCTGCCAGCCTGCAAGGGAAAAGACACGGGTTCCCAAGTTTTTCTCCTTTAAAGAAGAATCCATTTTTTAAAATTTGTTTGTGACCCTTTCATATATTCTTGAGACCCACTTTTGGGTCATGGCCCATGGGTTGAGAAATGCTGCTCTAAAGGACTGGGCTGCACCTACCCAGCATGCCACATAACATAAAATAATTGCACATTTTGGATAGGCAGTTTCAGTCTGATATGTTTGATCACAGAGAGTGTTATAAATCCACTGAAGTCAAACAGTCCTGGATTCATTCACTGGAAAAGAATGAGGTTTAAGTGCTGGCACCAAATTAAGTGGTTTAGGTACAGCTCTTGTCATTTATATATAGAGTGCTCTTTATTTTGAGAGAGTTTAGCATTCCAGCCAAAGGTAAATGAATACATCTTTCCTCTACATTATGTGAATATTACATCATTGAGAGCTGAAAGTATTGTATTACTTTAATCCATTCATTAATTTATGGACTCAGAGCATGCCAAAGGAGAATGACAAATACACAGCAGGTTTCTAAGTGAGAGATTTTGCATACAGTTCTGTACTATAACCAAGAGACAAGCCAAATGCAATCAGACAACAGAATCCAGTCGTGTCAATATGATCCTATTTTCAGCCTTTTATTGTTCTCCTCTCATTTTCACTACTCTGAGCCTAAATACAGCCCTTTTCATTCCTCTTGTGTATAAGGTAGATACATAACACTAGAATTCTACAGGATATGTGGGTGCCCATCAATTCCTATATGACATGGAAGGGACAGTATTTTTGAAAAACAAGTCAGTGGGCCCGTCTACATGTTATATGTATGCAGCAATTAACAGGTTACTCATGCCATATATGCCACATGTGCACCCAATTTAAGACACAATAAAATGGCAAACCAGCCATAAAAAAAATCCGCATGTGATGTAGAACACTATTATGGCTGGTTTGTATGATGCCTTAAATTGAATATGTGGCATGTTCACACACCAGGGTTGTTTGGGCAGATGCCCAACGATCAGGTGATTGTTGGAATCAGTGCTGGACAGCTCCAGATATCCAACAGGCAGTGCTGACAATCTTGCTGGCAGCAACCCAAGGCAGCCCTGGTTCTCCAACTGGGCAAAGTGTAAATCCCTGCCAAAATTCTCCTGTGCTGGGAAGCCAAAGGGATTCCTCTGCTAGAGATTTTAAGCCAACTGCATCACAACTCAGGTGGGATTGCCAGGCACAAGGGATCAGAGGCTACAGGCAAGGGGAGCCAAAGGGCTTCCCTCACCAGAAATTTTAAACCCTATTCCTGCAGTTTAAAGTCCCTGGCAAGGAAAGCTCTTTGTCTCCCCCGCCTGAAGCATCTAATCCCCTATCTGTGGCAGCCTCACTGGAGCCGAGGTTTAAACTTCCCTGGGGGAAGCCCTCAAACAGACCCAGGACTGCCAACCAGCTAATTGTTAGCTGCAGACCAAGGACAGTCCTGTGTCCCATGGAACTGCTTGGCACCCAACTTTTGACTTGCTTGTTCAGGGGAAGCCTGGGATTTTGATCCAGGGCTCCCCCTGCACTGGCAAATACAAAGGGCATGACTGTTAGGATTGGAGATCAGACCCAAGACATCTTTAAATAAATATGTACCAGGGGCTAGTGGGATCTGTCAAGTACTCAGTAATATGGAAAATCAGATTGCATCTTTGGGTACCAAAGGTATGCTTAGAAAGCTAATTTCAGACCACCTTCATGGTCCTCAGACAGAGATTATTACCAGCCTGCTGCCCAAGTTAAACCATGGTTCAATACTGCAGACCTAACTGTAACATTTACCTAGAGGGAGACACTTTACAGGGTGTTCTTTCTGCCTTCCAGAAATTTTTCTATGCTAGCAAAGTCCCTCTGACCTCCACTAATCTGCAACTCCAGCCATATGCCTATTATGCAACTTCCAGTGATAACAGATCCCATCCACAAGCAACACCCCTGTCTACAATGACTTGACAAATTCCCCCTAGGTCCTTGCAGAGTTTTGAAACATCCTTGTTGTTTACCTAGAAGTCTACAAGGAAGAATAACACCCTTTTCACCTTCTGCCTCCATTTTCAGAAAATGTGAATAGTTTCCATGGCAATTTTCAAATGGTTTTCATACACAAACTGAAATGAGAAGCTAACACTTCTGGGGCCAGATTCCATTCCACCTAGTAGGCAGCAAAGTGCACCTCTGGGTGATTCTTTTCCACCCATCTCAAGTCCCTGAAAACCCATTTGCGCATCTCCTTTTGTAAGACAGGGTTCTTTCGGTAAATCCAATATATTTTATTAGAACAACCAACTCATTTTGTAACACACCACCATGTGACCCTTAAGACTGAGTCATAAAAAGCAGAAGAAGAAAAGGACCTGCTCATGTTTTAAATTAACAGGTTTTCAGGGACACAAGCAGGGTGGAACAGAATTACACTTAGGTGCCTCAGTCCACTTACATGCTTAATAGGTGCAATAGAATCTGGCACTTAGGGTGGCATTTTGTTCTTTACTGGTCATCTAAGTGGCTGTGTTTTAGATGTCTACATGGCATTTTCAGTACTCACCCATCCAGGGTTATTCTACTGCTGGATGCAGAACCCTACATACATGGACAATTACCTAGTTATGCTACCTGAGCTATACCAGATACAACCCTTATGTGTGCCCCTTGTGAGTACAGAGCAAACCTAGATGCTTGAAAATGGAGCTTTCCAGAACCCAGAACTACTGGATTTAGACTCAAGAACAGAAGAAGATAAGGTTGAGTCCCTTTTTGCCCCATAGGTCAGTGGCTAGGACACTTACCTGCAATGCTGAAGGTCCTGGATCTCTTCACCCAGAAAAGGCTTGAACCAGGGCTTTTTTTGCTTTTCAGCCTAGCACTCTAGCCATAGGTTAGAGTAGAAAACTCACTCCGAATGCTGAAGACACCTGAAGGCACAACACGCTAACCACCACACCGCTTGCCAATTTCTGCCCTACTCTCTCCAGTTAGAGACCAGGTCCTCTTCCTGTCAAGGCAATTGCCACTTCACTGATCCATAAAGCTTCTGCCTTGCTCTCTTCCCCCTGGCCCCACATCTCTCCAAAAAACCTCCTGTTCATGGGCACCCAGGGGCACAACTTGAAAAGGAGTGCCAAGAAAGATCCAGGACAATGGCTAATCTGTAGTATGGCAGGTAGAGTGCTGGGCTGACAAAATGGAGCATGGCAAGTTCAAGCCCCCTCTGGGTGAGGGGAACCTAAGACTTTCTAGGCAAGTGCCCTAGCCTTACTTCTATTTAGGGGAAAATATATAGGG